TCGTTAAAGATTGACGACGCAAGGATGTTTTGCCTGGGCTCATCGAGTACTTCTGACTAGTATTGCTAGTGATGAAATGATAGCAGAGATTCCTGGAAATAATTTCTCGTGAAAGTATCTGTAGAAGGTCGTCAAATAGCTAACTAGTACTTGTGAAGCAGCTTTAGTGATGAATCAGTACTTCATATTATGTTCGAAAATGTTTTATTTATTTCATATTGATGGAGTAGGTTGACATTTCAACTGGTAGCAGATATAAATTTTTTTCCGCAAATCGCTAGGAAATTTTGACATTCCTGTCAAAATTTCTTGAAGAAAAGTTAGGACTTCCTTACTGTAAGGAAATGTCATTTCCTTACTGTAAGGAAATTATATTTCCGTACAGTTGTTAGTGTTCTACATAAATGATTGAAAACACATTGCTTATGAGGAATTAATTTATATTTTGAAAACATCAAGTCATTGCTGAATACATTTTCAAGATCAATTTGTTATATTTACAGTAATTTGACAGTTAGTACAATTATTGAACATTGAAGGAACACTGTCAGAACTATGAGAAACATTTTGGACAACATGCGGGTGGTGGGGTTATTTTGTTGAATATTTTGTACTGTGAAAATGTTATTTGCCACCTCAACCTTATTGTTAAGCGATTCTTCGATATATCCTTCAGCAACGTTTGATGACTTCCATCCGCCATGCCTCTTTAAACTAGTTATGTCGGCACCAGAGTCAACCAATATTGTTGCAGAAGACCGACGAAAGCAGTGACCAGTATATTCTGTCGGATTTACCAAGTTCAAATAAGTAGCAACTATTTTGGGCATTTTTTTAAATTGATGAATTCCTACCACTTGTCTACAACCCTTTCCGCTTTGATATTTGAAGAAAAATCGGTCACTGTTCATATTTTCTGGTCTTAACGAAACATACTTTCGATAAACATTCAAGTAGATCTGATTAATTACAAATGATCTTGGTTTGTTGGTTTTCGAATCAGGTATGCTGATTAAAGCTTAGATTCTAGGTCTTCTATATCGTGTACAGTCATTCGGACCAACTCATCCATTCTACAGGCCCCAGAAATGCCAAATATTACAGCCACCTAAAAAATAAATGGAGGTATAATCTAAATAGAAATTAAAACCTTATGAATTACCTTAATCATCAAATTTTCTTTATCTGGAGCTTCCTGGATAAATTTTTCAATTTCTTCCTTCGTTAAAATCTTAGATTTCTTTGCCCTATAACCTTGAGCTTGCCGTTTCAATAAAGAACGAAGTTTTGAGTATGTAGATATATCTACATTGTGTTTAATTGCAAGGGTTGACTTCAGCATTGAATAATTGGCCCATAATGTTGAAGATTTCATCTTCAAACAAAGGTCTAGGAAGCATGCCGTTACAACATTTTCTGAGAAAGAACTCGTATTTTTACTCATGCGATAATCCATAAAACGTCTGTATGCATTTTCGTACTTTTCTCTCGATTTCTTTCTAATGAAGCAGTATTCACTGCCTCAACCAGCTCTAGAGGAGTCCCAGGAATGGGAATTTCATCATCACTTATTATTTCACTTTCGAGAACACCAGCAATTAAATTTATAAGCGTCAAGTTTGACAATTCAACCTCAATACGTTTCCATATTAACCCAAGTAATTTTATCAGGAATTTCAAAGCACCATTTATTTGGGAATAAAATTATCGCGTTTTTTTTTAAATCAATCAATACCTGTCGAATTTTAAACGATTTGCGGAAAAATAGTATGTTTACCTCGTAGGAAAAGCCACATTCGTGGACTCTGTGTTGCTAAGTCTCGGCTTGCGCCTCGACTAGCAATCTTCACAGTCGCCCAGGAATGTTAAGCTTTTCCTACCTGGTAAACAATGTACTATTGTGATGCATGTAACCTGAATGAATATTTTAATCCAATAATTTTTTTTAGTGCTTGACATTCTGTTTTTCCTTGGTATAGCAAATGGGTTATCTCCATTATTTTAAATCGATGAATATTTCTGGTGATAGCTGAGATTTGATTGTCCATAGGTAGTTATTGTTAAAATAATATTCGATGAACGAATTTTCTCATGGTAACATATTTTTCATGTTTCGCTTGGAAAGAATGGAGGGTACATTGTCGTCAGTTCATGAGTACGAATCTGTTTCCCATTTTAATTGTTTGATATTAGTCTTGAATGAAGTTCTCCTATGTTCATCTAGTAATAAGATGGACTTTTTACATGATCATATTCAATTTTTGCAATAGCTATGATCAATGGAGTATTCTGCTATTTCAAACGAGGTATGAGAATACCAAAAGTTGAGCCGAATGATATTTCTCATTGAAATTTCAATAATAGCAACTTTGATTCTGATAATTCTCCATTGAATGTTTATTTGATTATGATAATCACATCAGTCAACAGGAAATCGTTATCAGGAAGCACGAATATCAATCACTGATGCGTTCTAATTTTCAATGAATGCAGTTGGATATAATAATAATATTTGTGAAGTTGTATTCTCTTTGCCACCTGGTTATTGATTTTTGGTTCGATCAATCATTCTTCAATTCTATTCATAGGCTCAAGTCACAACAGGTCCTTTCAAGGCCAAGTGGTTTTTCAAAGCGGATGTGAAAATGGGTGCTAGTAATCTTTTTCCTGAACATCGATAGATCTAGAAAATCAGGTTTCAACAATAAAAAAGAACAATAGTTTGATGATAGCTTTCTTCCACCACTAATCTGAGAAATAACCAGTATTTAAGGATTCCTTCTTATGAGAAGTGACACCGTTCATATGATGAGCAATGCCTATGATACATGGTGCATGGTATTGATCTTTCAATTGAAATGGGAGTCTGAATGAATAAAGAAGTCTGAATTCCTAGTGCTAGTATTATCCTTCGACGCTTCACGCCTCTGAATATGAAAATGCTTGCAATAATAGCTCACTTCTGACCCTAGGTTTATGATGAACAATTTGTGTTTGTGAGGAATTGAAATTGATGAAAAATATGTAATTGATCAGTATGGTTGGGTTTGAATTCCGAATACTTAAAACTTTCTTAGTTCCAATTCATGTATAGTGATTCATCAGTTATGCCTATATCTTGTTCCTCAGCTGTTAACCATCTCATTTGATCATCAGAAATACAGACATATGTCAAACTTTGAACCTTTGAAGTTCACTGAAATAATTCGTTGGGTGAAGCTTTGTAGTTTTGAATAGACAATAGTTTTGGCAAAGTTTTGTTGAACATTATTCAAGGTTGAAGATGAAAAAGAGTTGCTGCCTGGTCTTGAAGCGTTCGTCTTTGTCGAATATTTGGCAACCCACTTTATATGAGTTTTCAGTTCCCCAGTTTCCTATCGTTTCATCATTATGCAGCCTACTAGTATAATGAGTGATAGCATAGATCACATTCACATTTCTTATTTTTATCATTTTCCCTTCATTTCGATATCTCGAACATTTTGAGGCTTTGCGTATAGGTAATCGAACTATCACTGAAAAATCCCACTCTCAGAGTACTCACAAGACCATGTTATTGATAGCTATAGGTATACATCACATTGAATATGTGAATGTCGTAATTTGTTGAACTTGAGCATTTGCTTTCGACTAAGTCACCAAAGGGTGACCTGTTATAGAAAGTTAGTCTTCTGTCCAATTTCAGTTGAATCTGAGCGTTTGCTTTCGGTGAGCACCGTTAGCTAATTCGGTCATTCACCCCAATCTCTTGAAGCGTACAGAACTGAATCGAGTATGTTCACTGGTCTAGGATTTCATATTTCATTGAGATTATAAGTTTTTTGGAATAATTCATTTGGTGAATTCAGCCGTTCTATAAAAAAACTAGTTTTGGTAGAAGATACTTCCACATACTTGAATGACAAAAAGGTATGCTGCCTGGGCTTGTGATCCGTTAAATTTTGGTTGAACCTGAGCTTTGTTACTCGTCAAGCACCAGAAGATCACGTGTTATTGATCGTTCGTCATAATTATGTTCTTAGTCGAATGTCTGTTGAACCTCTGCGTTTGCTTTTTATTTTTAACGGTATTCGTCATATAACATCTGTCAAATGTCTCGCGTGCGCTATCATCTGTTAGATGTCATACATCGAATGTTAGTAGAACCTGAGCGTTTGCTTTCGGCAAACACCTCGAGTGTAATCAAAGATGTACGTTATACGTGATTTCTGATTGATCAGCTGAGTCATGTTTTTCTTTATGACAGAGGGTTTGCTCTCGTTTAGGTTTGAAGCACCGAATGATCACGTATCAACGATTGTTCGTCTTCTGCCATTTGTCGTATTTCGGTTGAATCTAAGCGTTCGCTTTCGGCGAATGAGAATATTGGCGCAATACCTTTGATACAAAAAATGGCTTGATCCACGAGTTAATTCAATTCGATCAGCTCACCTAGCCTAATGGTATTGTACCGATATTTTTATTTCAAATTTATTGAATTTTCGATTGATATCAATAGATGAAAGGGTAATTATATGTTGCGTAACGAAGATTGACATATAAACTATAGAGTTTTGAACCTGCAGCACTCAAAATAGTAATGGGAGGTTTCGATTTTCACGAATTCATAAAAGTGTCAATATCTTCAAAGTTATCAGAATTTTACTAAAGTCAAATTGAAATATTCAAGTTAGTCATGAGCTGGACTATCAGTCATCCACAGGATGACATTGAGTTTTGATACATATACGAGTGTTACACTTCTCGAGAAATCATCGCTTATGAATTCAACGTAACATATGAAATGTTCGACAAAACACTGATATCTAGAAATCTGTTACACTTCGTATAAGTGTATGATAGTATATATAACCGAATGTTCGAAATGTTTCTACCTATCACCCCCTTTCGTGTTTTTCTTTTCAGAATATATAAATAACGAATTCTCATTTTTTCATCATATCTGTAAAATCTATTATTATGGAATTCTAATTTTATTCAGGTTTTTTTCTATATTGCAGATATTACGCAATCGTCCAACCACTCGACTACCCTCTGATAATGACAAACGTCCGTCTAGTCTTCATGTTAGCTCTGGTTTGGTGCAGTCCAGCCCTACTTTCATTCTTGCCCATATTCATGGAGTGGTACACGACCACAGAACACTTAGAGTTTCGCCGGAATAATCCAGACATTTGTTCGTTCTCAGTGAACCGAACATACTCTGTGATTTCGTCCAGTGTGAGTTTTTGGGTGCCAGGCATGGTTATGATTTTTATGTACTATAGGATATACGTGGAGGCTGACAGACAAGAAAGGATGTTGTATAGGTGAGTAATATTCATTTGGATATTGCGTATTAGTACCGTTCACTTGTGTATTATTATTCAGTTTGCTTCACAATCCTGTAAATGGTTAGGTAGGTACTCTATTTCAGTTTTTGCTGGTTGAATAAATGAATCCATCAATCACACTATGGGACTAGTTATCAAATTAGACAGGAGGTCAACGTTGATGGAACTGTACTATATTGTTCCTTTGGTCACAACCGATATATCTCCTCATCCTTAGAATTCAAAAAGAAATGAAGCGACAATAATCCATGGAAAGATAGATGGGATCGATGAATTTCGCTGCTACAAAATGGTGGCGCTGGCTGTATGTTTATCCGTCACTAGCAGCAGCTTCAATTTGAATCCCTTCCATCCTTCGACTCAGAGTGCTTGCTTTCGTGAGTACTTTCGAGTCTAATCATAAGCCATACCCAGCACATCTTCTTGAGACATCAAAAATCGAAACATATCGTACTGTAAACTGAAAGAGTTATGATATGGTTTCACTGGGAAAATGATCATACTGGAAATCATAACCATATAAGATGATAACATACAACGAACATACACCTTCAGCACATTGACGAACACCTATGTAAATGAGGAGTCTGGTCAATAAGAAGAAATTGTCCCATGGAAACCATCCACCCTTCTCAAAGTGTTTCAAAATTCATTTCCCTAAAAGACGAAACAGTCAAACATAAAGTCGATCGACCACAGAAATTATATTAACAAATCATGATTGTTACTAGTTTCGGCTCAACGACCATCTTCAGACACATAAAAATATCTGTAAAGATTAAAAATTACGGATAGACAATGAGCTACTGAAGGAAAAACTGACCTTAGGGGACATGTGGAGATGAGTTCAACCAAAGGCCAGTTCAAAAACCAGAGAATCAGGTAGGTAGTGAAGAATATTGTTCTTGGAATCGACTGAATAGCCGAAAGAACAGTTAAATAAATAATGCGATTCGGTAGGAGCAGAAATTGTATTTATAATTCGAAATTCACTCAACAAGAGTCATCATTACTGGTTGTCATTCGACAAAAGCCAAAAGTAAAGAATAGGAAAAACATCAGGACAGAATGACATGACAAAATGACATGACATAAACATGACAAAATGACTGTGTCACAAGTGATACAAACGAAATAAAAGTACCAAACTGTATGACCTAAGTAATATTGAGCAATTAGAAATCATTTCAGCTAAAATGATCACAGGTGAGCAATTCATCATTAATTGTGAATCAAATGTTGAAAAGTAGTAGATCAAAAATACATGATCAGGTTGAAGTTTGATAACTCAGATGGAAGGAGAAGAAGTAATCAGAATGAAAAATACTATCAAAATCCCAAGATGAAGATATAAGAGGGAACAAACAGAACCGGACTGAATTGAAGTATAAGAAGGAAAAAATTAATCATAAGAACTTCAATGTGCGGAAAATATCGTAAGGTTCGAAATAGGTAGACAAGTATGAGGGTTGCTTGGCTGTGTGCACGTGTATATAGACCAAAGAAGGGAAGTGGTGCATATCGATAATTTATTCAAATTTTTACTCGTAGCAGAGCGCTTTCGACTGTTGGGTCATCATCAGTGCATACGCGTCAGGTTAACAAGGAGATGTGTCCATTAAAATATCTCTGGTCCAGTTCAAAACAATCGACATTATGGTGAAATACTGTATGAACATATTGAAATGTGTTTCCCAAAACGGAGGTAAAATAAAGATTACATTTTGTTAAGCAGCCATTGTCACTGCGAAATGTCGTGTTAAACTTCGAGTTCACTTGAGGATGATGATGAGGTAGTAGGATTATGTGAGTTAAGAGATGTGTCGATGAGTCTGTTATGCTCCGAGGCACAAGTATAAAAACTTCTACCCGTCTGGCCAATGTACGAATAGCTACAATCATAACAATTCAATCTGTATACCCCAGACTTTTTTGGAGGAATTTCATCTGTGGAATTCAAAAGTGGAAGTCTAAGATTGGATTCCTCCTGAACCTTCTCGGAATTTCAAGAATCCATAAATGTATTAAGAACCCATATTCCACTTGTTTCATCGACCAAACCAATTCTGAACGTTACCATATTTTTTGCACATTGAAGTTCACATGATTGATTTTCACCTCCTCATACTTGAATTTCGTCCTTTTCTGTTCCCTTTGATAGCCTCTTCTTCTGATGATGGTATTCCCCATGGACGTATGTATTCCCATTACTGATTACTGCTTCTCCTATTATCTGATTTATATAATTTCAACCTGATCACGTGTTCCTCATCTACTAATTCTCAACATTCGGTTCACAATTAATGCATTGCTCACCTGTTATCATTCTAGCTACAAACATTTCTCATAGCTCAATATTAGTCAGTTCATAGAGTTTAGTACTTTCATTTGGTTCATATCATTTATTGTCACGCATTCTGTCATGTCATTCTGCACTTTCTGAAGTTTTACCTATGATTTGCCTTTGGCTTTTGTCGAATGGCCACCATGCAGTGATGATGAAACATTTGTTGAGTGATTTTTGATTCATAATTTCAATTCCTGCTCTCACCGATGATTAATTGCATTATTGAGTTATTCTTCTGGCTATTGAGTAGATTCAAAGAACAATTTATTTCATTACCTTCCTTTACCGGTTTTTGACCTGCTTTGAGTTTGAACTTATTTCCACGTGTCCCCTCAAGTTAGTTTTTTCCTCAGTAGTTAATTGTCTATTTGAAATTTATAATCTTGACAGGTATTTTCATGAGTCTGAAGCTGGCCGTTGAGCCAAAACAAGTCACAAACATCATTTGTTAAAATAATCCTGTTGCATAAATATTTGTAAAGCTCTGAAAAGGTATGAATACTCACTACACATAGTCTTATCCACAAAAACCTCCGTCCGAGGAAAGACCTTGTTAACCGTACCATCCGCAACAAAAACATCAACACAAAAATCATTCTATTGTCTTGCGCCCCGAATCATGAACAGTGTCCCAGAAAGTATTTTTCTGAATTGTACCATGTCATTCAGCCGATATTCAACGAAAATATCCGAATATTTTCTAGAAACCGATATACAACATCTGTTTACAATAAATGTTTGACAAAAATACTCTCTGAGGAGTTCAATAAACTGAGCTAAAATATTTTTTTATCTCCTCTGATGAAGGCATCTCTGTATTATTTTTTTTTTGATTATTATTCTTTTTTATTTCGAATCTTTTTGCTCTTTTTTTATATTCTTTTTTTTTTCTTTTACAAACCCTGAAACAAGTATTAATTTACTTATTGAGGGTTGGCATTGTGAAAATGATGTGCAAGGACATCATTGAAAATTGTTCTTCTTTCTCTCTCTCTCCAGACACAGACATTCGGTCTTCTGGCTAGGGAAGTAGTAGCAATAAGTGAAAAACCAAATGTAATAATATTTGAAGCGTTGCCAATAAACCTATCTATCTATCTATCTAATTCTTGAGGTCCACTGACTTTGTGTTCAACTGTTTTTTTCTTCTTTGCATTTTTTCACACAAAATATCGAATGTCGGCTATGGCCGTCGTGTGTTAGCAGTCCGCATAGGAGCAAATTTGCAGCCATGCTAAACACCGACGACAATACCCGTTCGGTTGAGAATTTATAAAAAAAAAATTATTGGTAGAAATGTGGACCCTATACTTAAATTGATATATAACTGAATGCATATAGCATCTGACGCACTGGGACTACGTAACTAATTTTTCATAGCGCCATGTATCGACATCCGTTAGTAAATGATATTAAGTAAATTTGGAAATGTCGATATCGAAATGTATTTTCAAAACAATCTGCTAATAATATTGCTCACATAGAATAGTGAATCAGATATCATCAACTAATTGGTACGATATTCCTTTTTGAATATGACTGGAAAACTATTCAACCAATATGCAATAATTGAACTTGGGAAAACAATATCGTCATTCTCTTCTATGACAAGTATAAAGATAAATATCAAGTTGTCGATATAAATATATCCATCTTTGAAACAATATGCATTAGATATCTTCCGCATGATATAGTTGAACCAGAATTTAGAAAAATGTTTCAAATATTGTTGAAACGATATTCAATGAATCTGCTGTCAAATTCGAATCAACATTATTGCATAACCTCTTCAGTATCGACATGAAGAGAATGTGCAAATTGCAATATTGATTTTAATTGTTATGAACAATATGTTCACGATATTGTATCACCGAAATTTGTAGAACAATAATATATAATATTTTCATATATGCTTTTTCACATATTTCCGACGTAATTTTCAATCAATATTGCTTCTGAAGCTGACATTCCTCATTTAGCTCAACCAATATTCCACCAATATTATCATTTCAATATTGTATTCTCAATTTACTCTCATAATGAACTGTGAGTGGTACTCTTCATGTTTTCGTATTTTTCTTTAATGTTTCGATAACAACTTTTTTGAAAATTCGAGTAAAACTCGCAAGAACAGAAAAATGTTTATATCTGTTGAGATATGGAGTACATAAAAAATCAACTAGTATTGTTTTGAACTTTATCGAATTCTGATGCTGAGTAGAAAACAATCACCAACAAAATAAAAGCTAACTATAATAACCTCTTGACAAATCCAGAAAAACGGTATCATGGAAACATAGTCGTTACTCAATCAGATGATGCAATGGAAGCATGTGTGGCATACAGTGAAGAAAATCGTGCTGCTGCAACAAAAGAAGGCCTGCACACTTGAGATTCCAGAAGATCGGAATTCTTTGGATTTCGAAATATTTTGTTGTGAAACCACTTTATGAAAAGCGCAACACAGGCGTTTATTTTAGCTATAGAACTATTAGTCTGCGAACATGTATTGCAAAAATCTTCGAAATCCTAATGGCTCGGAGAATTTTTTTTATCGCTTGGAGCGCACGAAAGGGAATCCCTATAATGTTCAGACAACATCGTGCGTTCCTAGGGAGGATAGGGACAGGAGG